CACAAAGACAGACCAAGTAGCTAAAGAAAGATTGCCCAAGGAATGTGAGGAGAGAGAAAAGGTAATGAGGATAGAGAAGACACAGAAAGCAAGGCTGGGAAAGATACTACTTAATTGGGATACACAATAAATTTCACTGAGAGCACCATTGCACGTACGGTTGACCCTAACTGCATGACAGATATCATCCCAGACACTTCTTCTTCCTTATTCCTTATTTACACAAATCTGCTATGACCCAGTGCTTGGTAAGATCTACTGTTTTCAACTCTGATAAAACTCATGATCAACTCCCACGTCAGAAAACGCAGCACCTTCCTACAGCAGCCACTAAAGATCTGGTAAGAACACTGCTTGTACTGAGGATTATTTCCTACTGCTAAAAATAGAGGTGCTTCCATATTTCCAATTTAAGTAACACTGCCACAATTAGCACATTACTGTTGTTATATAATGTGTATTTTATGGCAACAAGCAAAAGCTCTAAACGGGATCAGAGATGTATTGTAAAACTCTCGAAGTAAACACAAGATGAAGACTCAGTCCTTCCCCTACAGTTCGCAGTCTAACAACATGTGAAGAGGGAGACTGAAATGACTATATACATGAAATGACAGGTAACAGGAACCAATCTTCTCATGACCATGTATTGAGGATCTGGGACAGGATCCTGACAGTTATTTGTCATTATTCCAAGCAACTTTTTCTTGCAACAAATATCCATATTCATGGCTGCATCCTGCTGTTATTGAAGTCAATGAACCTTTTCAAATAACTTCAATGAGACCAGTACATAATTTGATTTAAAAACCACCCACATTTTTCATTACTAGCAACATTGCATGTCTAAGAATTCAGACATGTTCCTATTTTTATTAAATGTCTTTGTTGATAATAAATATCAGTTTACCATTTCTTAAAATCCTTATTGACATGTTGAACTTTTTTAAAATGGAAAATGACCCTATAAAACCAGTTGTACAAAAATGTTCTCTTCTGGTTTCAGCATGAGCTACAGAGTATAAAACACGAGTAAAAAATGCCTTGCAGATTTTTTCCTCCCTTTTATCCCTGCTCTTTATTTTCATTCTTTATCCTTTGTCCTGTTAAAATGTAGTGGCCAAATTAGTTATCTGTTTTAGGAATCATTTTATAATTAACCAAATGGAAAAAAAAAATCAAGACATTTTCAATTCCCTAAAAAACAAATCATATTTTATCCACCCACTGCAACATCTGCTGATGGAAAGCGGAGTATGTTTCTTAACTAATATCCATTGGACGTTTGAAGACAACACTTTAAAGTGGATTTAAAGTGGGTTAAATGCCTTTTGCATCACTTTAATGGCATTGATGTTTGCACGTTCGGTGGCGTATTGCACATTAATTCCAACCGCTGTAGCATATTTGGCAGCATAATGCGCCTTAAATTACTTTGGGATGCAGCAAATGACTTTGGGATGCTGCAAAGTAAAACACCTCCGGGGAGTTTTAGTTTCCTACCCTACAGCCGCAGAGGGAAGAACCAGGCTCCATGCAGCTCAGGGACTGTGCAGGCAACTTGTGCAGGCAGCCTGGCAGCAGCCCAGGATGGTAGGCTCCACAGAAGGAGAAAAAAAAAAAGCGGCAAGCCTGGCTTTTTTTTTTCCCCCTGGAGCCTGCCTGCCTGCCTGAGCTGTGCAGGGGCCTGGTGCTTCCCTCTGAGGCTTCGGTGCCCACCCTGGGGACTGCCTGAACTGGGTTCCTGCAGGCAGTTGCTGTTGGGGGGGGCGGCCGCTGCTGCATCAGAGGGAAGCACCAGCCCCTCCCCTCCATCCCCCCGCAGCTCAGGGACTGCTCTGCCTGCCAGCAGCTCATTCTCCCCTCTCCGCTGCTGGAGAGGCAGGTAAGGATCAGTCTCCAACACAGGTGTACGCAACAAGGGAGGTTTACTTCGCCCTAAATTGAAGCGGTGGTTTTTAAAAAACACCGCTTCAATTTAGGTAGAATTAAATCCCCATGTCGTGTAAAATGCCCAATATTGTCAGCTGTGAACACCTGCAAGTGCTAAACTTGCAGTCTATAATGGTTCCAATACTGGACACATTATTCAGGCAATGTTCAACAGGAGTTTTGCCCAACTAAGGGCAAAAAGGAAAGAGCTCTTGTTTTGGCTTAGGCAATAAACTGTACAATAAACTGTACTCTACTTTTAACATGTAGCAGAAGTGTTCTCTGTATTATACAGGTGTGCCTTAGCTTTCTGCTGTTGCAATGAGGTAGGGTGAGCCTGAGCTACTACAAAAGTGTCAATACTACTATCCTAAGCATAGTGAGAGTCAGTGACAATATATAAACATCAGCACAGAGCTGAAACTGTGACACTAATGTGGAAGAGACAATGGCAGGTTTCCATGGGGTAGGTAAGACTGTGCCTGCCCCTGTTCCTGATACACTCTCTACAAGGGCAGAAGGAAGGTTATCTATACATGTTTAGTGTGGGAGATAACTGTTGGCATCCAGCTATCAAAAATCATGCATCCAGGCCGATAATAATTACATTGGTTCAAAATAAATAGCATTTTAAAATAACAACATTTGGGCTCTTTTTATTTGTTTTTGAGCCTTTGGTGTTCATGTTTTTTAAGCATTTTTTGCAGCTGAGTTTTAGTAGTTATTCTTTTAATTAAAATTAAGGTTTTCATGCAATCAAATGACTCTGTTTAGAACCAGCCTTAATAAAAATACTATGAATTGTGACACTTGTAATAAAATCCCTAAAGCTTGCGATGCTATTTCTGCATATCCTGGAAATGTAGATTTTGTCTTCCCTGTCATTTAGAGTACAGAGGAAAGAGTACGTAGAATGGGAAAGGGGAGGTATTACCTTCCTTGTGTATTTCCTGGTTTTCTGATGTATTTTTCAAATATCTTGAAAGTTTCAATTTGTATTGTCCAACTTCCATGCTCTGAAAGGATATAAAGCACTGTTAAGCTATTTTATCTAATTTATTTAAGCATTTCTTTACTGAATAAGAGTAAGAAGGTGATTGTTGTAAATCTGGTTTGGGGAACTAGCTTTTCCCTTGGAACATTCTCTTGATGGAAACTGCTGAAACCATTCCAGACAAAAGGGAATCTAAGAAAGTTCAGCTTTACATGATGAAAAAGAGTAAAAACCACTTCCATTCAGTGCAAGATGAGCACACTGTATTTTATCAGTTGACAGTTATTCCCTGGGCAGACAATCATAATGCAGCTGTTCATTATCAAGATGGCAGCATTTTCTCACATGAGTAAGGTGCATCATGATCAGAAGAAACGGGTCATCTTTGGAGTAAAGCCAGTTTGTGAATAAGTACTGGACATCAGATTTCTTAAACTATTCCAGCATCATCATCTGTAACACACAGGCAGAGTTTAGAACAAAAGCAACAATGAGCTGTAAGAAACTGAAAATCAAATGCAGGGGGGAAGAGCACTTGAAATGGAAAACAATGTTTCAAATCACATATTTGTAAGAAAAATGGAACAAGCAAACCTCTAACAATGCCATTCATTCAATACAAAAATTCACAGGAAAGGGGCTATGGCCTGATTCTCATTTATACATAAGCTCTTTACACAATTCAAGCATGGCAAAGCTCCTTAGAGTAGTGATGCCCAACCTTCTGGCCCTACAAGCTGGATGAGTGCAGTAGAATACAAACTGCGAGTGGGGTTAGTCTATGGGCTGGATCCAGTGTTGGGTCAGTGCACAAGGTTGGTATGAGGGTATGATCTGGCACACCAGTCTGGCTCTGAGCATTGGATCTGGCCACAGAACAATCCCGTGCACCAACCCAGCCCTGCACATTGGCCTGGCCCTGTGCACAGGATCATGTTATCCATCCCACAGAGCTCCCCATGCGGCCAGAAAACTAGCAAAGGGGGAAGCGGTGGCAGAATTAATTGCTATGGCTTTGGAAACCATAGCAACTAATGCTGCCACTCCCCCCTGAAGCCAATTTTCTGGATCTGTGGGGGGACCTACAGGCTGAATGATATAGCTCCATGGGCCAAATTATGCCCATGAGCTAGAGGTTGAGCACCCCTGCTTTAGAGTGTGATATGCATTTACTCTTATGCCCCTTTTGCAAAGTTTTGCCGCTATTGGAGTTGTGAAAGGGATATCTTTGCAAATGTGAATTCAGTCCATATTCCGCCTCTGCTACCCTGTGTCACAACCCTAGGGTGTGATTTGATGTGTGTGCACTTCGGCACTGCTAAATTATTTCCCGCCACTCGGAGCTTTCTTTGCAGGGTGCATTTCTCAGTTGCAAAGAGAAGTGCACGGTGCAAAGGAGTTCCTGCCACCCGCATGCAAATTTGTGTCCCACTATTGGCCAGTTCTAAATTATTCCCACGTGGCGGCTAGCGATTGCCTTGCTAGCTGTATAAGAGGCTTGAGCGGTTTCTGCCCAAGTTGGAGGACTCCACAACCATCTGGAGGAGGAGGACTTCACATCTTGTGAAGATCTCTAAGCGCTGCGGAGCCTATCGAACCCAGCGTATACCTCAAGAAGGCTATAGGGGTCTGATCAACCTCTGGCCTCTCCCCGTCGCCGCCTGATCCCTCGACGTACCCTTCCCTGCGCACAAGTTCCATGGAGCCCAGCAAACTTCGTGTGAGTGTATCCAGAGCTCTGTCTGGGTTTGAGTCCTGCAGGTTTATCTTCCCGTCGCCGAAAACCCATTGCGACGTACTCTCGTGTTTTGCATCTTCCCGTCGCTGAAAACCCCTTACGATGTACTCTCGTGCCCTGCAGGTTCGAGTTTTGTTTTGTTTCCTGTCTGTAACTGCAACTCAAGCAAGTTTTCCTGCCTGCACCGCGACCATCTTCGGTGTAAGTAAAAAAATCTTTAATCAACTGCTAAGCGTCTGTGCCTAATTCTAGCCCGCCGGCCTGCATTCCCCGACCCGCGTGCCAGGGCTGCTGGCCACAGTCCGCCACGCGCCCCCGAGAACCTCGGACCGCTCCCGGCCCGCACACCCTGTTGTTATTTAACATAATTGGATAGGAATGCTAATTGCTGTCCGCAATCTACTTGTCCTCTTAGTCATTCCATGCCATGGACATTCTAATGGGCTGATGTTAGGACACAAGTAATTCTTAGGCTGGGGTTCCACTTTGATAGTAGCAAAATCTCATTCTATGTCAGGCCCAAATGGTGAAAAGAAATTTCATGAGATCAACTGAGCTTTTGGGATTTCCTTCTCCTTAGGCTAAAATGGCTGCTTCCTGAGATTTCTAATATAAACCAAGCTAGGGCCTTTTTCCATTCGGGATCTTTCCTGGGATTCTGACTGGAACTGCAGGTTTTTTAATTTCGGGGCTTGAGCTTCAAACTTACTCTTGCACTGTCATTCATTAAGAGGCCTAGATTCAAGTTTCTGGCTTTGAATCATCTACACGCAACTTCAATGGGAAAGAGATCAGGAAGACTGTTTGGCCCTTTTCACTTTCATAAAGAACAGTGACTAAGAATAAGTTATTGAACAGCACAAGAATTAAAAAGCAATACATTTGACAAAAAATTCAATCTTGAGTACACTCATGTATAAGATTCTTTCAGACCAAACTGAAGGTGTCCACAAGCCCTGGAATTCACTTAAAAAGGCTTCTCAAAATACAGATTGTACCGGTAGAGTTAATTATAATGGTTGATTTAAAAGAGGAAAACCCCTCCAGCATGGCTACAATTGTATTATAAATATGCTTGTGTTGCTACAACTTAATTTTATATGGGGAGTGGAATACGTCCCATTGTTACCACTGTAACTGCATATACAGCAAGGATTGTACCAGTATAATTTTCGGGAAAATCCCTCCCCTTATTGATACATATATATCAATATAAAAACTGGGTATTCGCAAGTTTTTTCTTTCCTCGTCATGTGTCAATTTCTAGAACATTAAATATGCGTAGCATATACATCCTGCTTCTTCAGCCCTGTTAATGTGAAAATACTCTTCATACAACCAGCTTGACAAGACCACCACAAAGCTTAGGCTCTGTCTAAATTCAGGTTTTCTTATGAGTAAGCGATTTCAAAGGGTCTCCATCAGTCTGAATTGCTAAACTCTAAGAAAAGAAACCTGTAATTGTGGGAGTGTTATAATAGGGCTCGAATGTATACAGAGTGCATGGTTCTGATTTCAGAAAATCTAAACCCCAAGACATGGAAAAAAGATGAACTATGGATACCCAACTGAAAGATGAGAAGCAAGTCCAAATGGGATGATGTCAAATAAATCAGAAAATGAGCAACTGATGTGAGAAGTACAGACCTATTATGGGTAACTGGTCAGTCATTAGGTTGACCAACACTCGCCCACAACATCAGGCTTTCAAGGATTCTGGATTTCAGAATGGTTTTCATTAGAAATGATCGATTCACGAGTCAAATTTCCTGAAAGTATTGCAGTTCAGGCACATGTTGCAGAAAGACTAACATGGCAGCTAACCTAGACACCTACCAGACCAATGCTAGGTGGGTTACAAAACTAGCTTTTATTTTCTCTGGTTCAAAACCTAGAAACTTGTGTGATCTTTTAGAAAAGTTGTTTAACTTTGGTCTCTTTTAGGTATATAAAGAATTATTCTTTAATATATGTTATATATTCTAACCAAATACATTTCTGTAGACACATCTCCCATGACCCCTCAACACAGACTACTAGCCATCTGCTGGAGTTAAAAACAAATGCAAAAGTGCTGAGGTAGACATGTCCCTGTTCAAATAAAAACTGAAAAACAAAACAAAACAAAACCAAAAAAATGGTTATATAGGATAGCTGTTGAGACTCTTGTGGTTTCACTCAGCTTTACAAAGCCAGTACAAGGTTGAAAAGCTTAGCTGGTGGTCATAAAGGATTCTGAGGTTTAACAGGAAGATCTGCTAGCTAGCTGCATGTTAGTGACCATCTAGGAATGCAGAAGCAGCACAGGTTTCTCTGAAGCCAAAAGCAAGCACGTCAGCAGCATGGTTTCTTCCTTTCATTGAGTTTTGGAAGATGGGGACAAGACTTCTGACAAATGAGAATGGAGTGACCGTCCAAGGCAGTGGCAACATGTAGGGAGTACACGGGGATGAAGCGCCGCTGGCAGTTCCAGGAACATCGTTCATGCTTACTGGTCAGCAAGATCAACCGCAAGGGATGCCCCTGCCCCCCCCCAGTCGGCAAGATCAGCCATGGAGGGACGGTTCCTGACTGGCCACTGGGGGGGGGCATGTGCCCCCCGCCCCCAACTCAGGTGGCACCAGTTGCCCATGATCCAAGGTCAACTGGCATCACCAGACTATCACCAGAGTAATAAGGTCATTTTTATGCAAACAAGGAAAAATTCCATTCCAGTAACCTCAGTTATTAGAAATGAAAATCCACAGATCAAAAGAAAAAAAAAAACCCTCCACCTCAGAAAGTCAGTAGGTATTTTGAGACATTGAAGGTCTTGAATGTATACTTTATCCATCCTAAAAAGTCCTGACTCAGAAATAATTATAAAATGTAAACTAACCAAAAGTTAGAAATAAAATCATTAATTCTAGAGTTCCCCTATTATACCTGGCAGACAAGGTTCCTTGGGTGAATTTGATATCTTTTATTAGACAAACCCAAATAGTTGAAGAATAGTTATTAAGCAAGCTTTCGGGTTCAAAAACCCTTCGTCAGGCTAAGGAAGTGTCAGCAATTGGTGTGTGCTCTTCCTGGATGGAATGAAAAGTAAAGAAGCCAGTGGCTGGGCTGGGGAGTCAGTTGCCAGGCAGATTATAATGTACCAAAAATCCAATGTCTATGTTTAGTCCATGATCTCTAGTATCCAGGAGGTTGATGAAATGCAGCTCATAGGCTCGTCTCTGGGATGTGTTGTGTAAATTTCCCTTGAGAGGACTGAGAGATTGGAGAGAGAGTGGCCCTCCTGT